TGTCAGTGTATTTCTGGAGTGATAATGGTCTGCATAGTCGATTTTCATGGGATGGCCAAAGGCGTATTGTTTGCTAGTAGTCATGTTCATGCTCTAGAATACAGAGTGAGAGGGACCACTTATGTGGGAATAGCAGTGGCATTTTCCCCCGACTCTGTTTTTCAATTTCTCATCTTACTTGATAGAAACTGTTGTAAAGATTTGAGCCTGACATATTTTTACAACTGAAAGGCTTCGGCTCAAGTTGTGAACTTTCAGACTTCCTACTCTGCCCCAGTGAACAGTATTGAGCTTTACTTGCTTTAGCAGGGAAGTATAGGTGTCAAATATTTCAGGTAAATAGAGTATGCTTAGAACTGTGTGTTTTGCATATCTCCTGGCCTGAGATGAATGGCTGCCTCAATACAGCTGATGACTGTGTGAGTTCATCCCAGCTGTGTGAAGAAAACCGTTGTTCTATTCACAGCACGCTGAGTTAGTGTTTTTCTTTAATTGAGGAAAATGCTGGCTCATTTTTAGCAAGATTGGTAGGAAATACCTTCTGGATTTACAGTCTGTCTTGCAGTAGACATCTGTGGTGTAATTAACATCCAGAGTTTAACACACAGCTTTAGAACATGACAGCCCTGGCTCTATTTTTCAACAGACTGTAGTAAAGAAGCGATCTGGAGTCTATTCTTAATGCTAAGAGACTGAGTCTTGATCTACAAAATGATCTGTAGTTTGTCATAGGCTTTCTATTGAGATGATCCTGAGAGGTGGTAACTTCATGTTGAAAGTTTGGAATAGAATTGAGAGAATAATGGCCAAGTGGCAGAGCAGAGGAAAGGTGATCACCGTGTGGTATGCTGCGTGTATTTATTTTTGGTGACTTTGTATCACCTCCAGCAGAAGGTCTCAACTCATCTGGACTTTAATAAAGTCTAGTAAAATTACTCAGCCAGTAGAGGGCATGGAAGCCTCACACAGGAATCTGTGTAGTGTTCTGCCTTGTGCAGTTCATGTGGTGGGGAAAAAGACACTGCCTGCTTGACTCTCTTTACTTTGCAACAGCAATTGCATAGAAGAATTGCTTAGCGTTTCATGTGGCTCTATGGAACTTTACTATATCTACGTGACTCTTCCCTTCTGACTGGGAGGTGTAGATCTTGCTGTAAATTACAAGCTTCTTCCATGGCAGTAGAGCAGTTTATTAGAGAATAGCAGAACTTCTGGCAGTTAATTTAATAGCAGTCCCTCTCCTCCTACCACTGTCAAACACAAAAATAATATGTAGTCTTTGTTTGAAGTTGTGTGCTCAGTTTGTCTGTAACTGAAAATCTACTGAAGCAGGTTGTCTCAGTGCAGCCAGCTTTAACTTTTCTGTTTTACACGGTTGAATGCATGTGTGCAGCTAGCAGATTTGAAAGTAAACTCCTTGCTGCTGTATCTATCTAAGGAACGGGGGCTGTTCCGTCTGGGGGAGAGGAGGCTGAGGGGAAACCTTACTGCTTTCCAATCCCTGAAAGGTGCTTACTGTGATGTGGGGTTGGTCTCTTCTCACTGGTGACAGGTGACAGGATAAGGGGAAATGGCCTCAAGTTGCACCAGGGTAAGTTTAGGTTGGATATCAAGAAAAACTTCTTTACTGAAAGGTTGGAATAGGTGGTTGAGTCACCATCCCTGCATGTGTTTAAAGACTGTTTGAATGTGGTGCTCAGGGACATGATTTAGCGGAGGGTTGTTAAAATTAGGGTAGTATGGTTGGACTCAATGATCTTTAAGGTGTTTTCCAACCTGAGCAATTCTATGGTATGATTCTATTAGATTTCTTCATTCTCTTTTAATTAGTTGTTCTTTATTCTTATCAAATCTGTATGAAGTTTACTCTTTCCCAATGAATGACGCTTTCATTCTTCATTTTTGTTTTTAATTGTAAAGTCACTCTGCAAGCAGCTTGGCCATTTTTTTTTTTTTTTCCTCTAATAAGGAGAATGTTGACTCCATGCCACTCAGTAATGTGTTCCCTCTTGAAAGGGAAGTAGAAACTGGAAACTCGTTTCTTTAGATTCTCTGATCTGGCAGCTAGTAACATTTGCTGTTTAGTATTATTTCTTATCACTGCTTGAAAAAGACACACAACTGAAGACTTTCTTATTATTTTCTACTTCCTTAAAGGCTGTATTTATATTGAACAATAGAGCACAACACAAATCCTGAGCATGTGAAAGGGAATATTAAGTAACCTCATCTGATCACAAGGAAGACGTCTGTAGCAGTTGTGTATAAAAAGGATGGCTGCAGGTGCTTCTGCTGGTGAAAAGGCGAGGCACAAACTTCATGTTCTGAGTTGAATCATGTTGATCTGAATTTGAAAAAAAATGGGTAATTTCCTTACTAGACAGATCTTCCTAATTAGTTCTCGTCTGATACTTGCACTAATTTGCTTAATCTTTGAGAATTTAGTTGCTTTTAGATTGTAAAATATTTTGAAGAAATGTTATTGTCTAAGAGTAGATTATCCTGAGAAAAGGACTTCAGTGTGATGAAATACTAACTCTTCTGAGACTAACTACAGTTGACTAAGGCTCTGTTCTTTATTAGTTATAATAATGTATTTGTTAACTATGCTGAAAATAGGACTCCTTCAGCAGTTCATTTTTTCTCTAATTACAGACAACAGAAGTTAGCAGAAAGGGAAAAAAGAGCAGCAGAACAACAACGAAAGAAAATGGAGAAAGAGGCCCAGAGGTTAATGAAAAAGGAACAGAACAAAATTGGTGTAAAACTCTCCTAACAGTAACCAGGCATCGGTGGAAGGATTCCACTTCTACAACATGCATACTGATATTAATTTAAGTATTTCCAGGACTTCAACTCACTGCTTCGTTTCAGTGCATTCTTCAAGTCATCTTGGAAGCCAGAATTCTCCCCAAATATCTTGAACTACTAATAGGTAGTTCTTCAAGGGAAAAAAACAAACCCAAAACCATACAAAATCATGCCTTGATGGAATGAAATTTCCTACAATAATTCTATTCCAGTACCCTTCTTTGCAGCAAACATGATTGAGCAAAAGTGATTGAGAGACACTCTTAATGAACAGCTCCAGCCAAGGGAAAAGAATGTAAATATTCTGTGGTGGGGAATCTACTGTATTGTCTGTGCTTACCTGAAACATGTAATTAAACAGTTTTAAATAATCTTTTGCTTCCTACCTGATATGAGTGTCTGCTTTTTCTTCTTTTTTCTTTTTTTTTTCTTTTTTTTAAATAAAAATATTTATACATTTAGAATTATCCATTAGAGATCATACTGACCTGGACAGATGAGAAGACCTTGTTGTGGATGACCTTAAGTGTACTCCTGGCAGTGTGTGCTTTGGTGGAGGAAGGGTTATAGATGAGCACTTAATTGGATTTCCCATCTTTTTGTCTCTTGCAGCTTCCTGTGCTGCCGTGCCTACTGACAGCACTGCAGTGGCTGCAGGCAGTGGCACTGCTGTATGACAGTGGTGCATTCTGTTCATCTGTTACAAAGGCTGATGCGAGCATAGGGGAGTAATTCATTTCATTTGTGTTGGTAATTTTGCATTTCTAGCACACTGCTTTACTTCTTACAGCTAGTAAAGATATAGACTTCATACTCATGGCATAGGTAGGGTAATTGGGGAAAAAAGTCTTCATATTAATAAAGCTAGTGTGGAAGTTCGTAGTTCTGTTAACAGTGTTTCTTAGATTCCTTCTGCCATGGCAGAGAACTGAATGTTGGGTAAAGATCAGAGCAAGGTTTTTAAACCTGTTGTGTGTTGGGAGTGAAAGGAGCTGTGCAGCCTTTCCCTGAATGCAACTGAATGCTTTCTCAGAACTGCACAAGGTGTTTTTAAAAGCTGGAAGCAACTTTGATGTTATTATAGCGTTAGCTCTGTTTTTTAAACAGCACATTTAAAAAACACTGCTGCTAAATGGAACCTGCCGTAGTGTGGTTGAAAATCAGTTCAAGCTGTTGGAATATTAAACATTAGAGAGGTTTGTGCTGCTCTGTTACCTTCTTGCTACAAAAGGAACCCGGGCAGTCACAGTGAATGTTTCTCCTGGACATGAAGATCACTTTCTCTAATACATGATACTCCATTTCCTCACATTTTGAAATAGGACCAAAGCATTTTCCATATTGGTTTTTTCAGTCACAACAGGAGACATTTAGGAATAATGGAAAGCCATGTTTGTATGAAATTCATGGAAAAAGGAAGCCTATTAATATTGATTTTGGCCCTTTTGTCATACCTAATTAAAGAGAAAAGCGAGTGTTGCCATTGAGTACTTGCTATGTGCTGCCCCATCATTCCTTCTCTTTGTGGCTTACTGGTAACAGCCTGGCTCTCAAAAGCTGCAAAGCAATGCACAGTACCATCAGGCCTCATGAGATCTCTTCTGGTCCGGACTGCAGAGGAATCTTGCTTGGCTGTAGGTGAGAGCAAGGGGGCAGCAAGGTTTCGGTGGCTAGAGATATTGCTGGAAGTTTGCATGGAGCCAATTCCACCATGTCCACCTGATGTCGCCTCTTCTTAGGAACAGATCTCAAGTTTTGGGCAGGGAGAGTTTATGGCTTGAGGGCCACAGTGCATCTCAGTGTGTACTTGGGACTTTGCAGCTCTCGGCCATGTTGCACAAAGCCTTCTAGATTTCTGTGAAATGCCAGGAAGCCTGATACGCTTCTTGAAGGGCTGAGATGAGAAGTTACAAGTTGGGATTGCACTGAGTTAATAATTAGGCCCCTTGCTTCTGTCAGTGTGGTGTGGGTGCGGCTGAGGGGGCAGCAGCTGCATTGCTGACCTAGCACAGCCCTCTGTGCAGTGCTTCCTCTTGGAGCTGGAAGCAGGTTTTTTTCAATCAAGCTCTCTCCAGGATGCTACGGCTTCCTTACGCCCTGATGCGGTGCCTCTCCTGCTCTGAATGTGCGATGTCTCTGCTGAAATGGAGTATTTTTTAGCAGCTTCGCTACAATGAAGCACTCATAGATTCTTAACATTTCTAACATGCTTTACTGAATTTGTGATTATAAAGGTAATTTACAATAAAGCAATTAAATAAACAATAAGTTAAAACACAATACGTTTATAGATGGTATTTCACAGGGTTCAAATGACTATCAGGTTCCAATACATTAAGACTCCAAAACGACATTAAAATTCAAAGTGTATCCACGCCTATATTTATCGTCCTAACAGTTTCAAGACTCCCAACAACTGAACATTGTGGTTACAGTCCTTATACGCACGAGACTGGTGGAATGCTCAAGCAGTTGCAGGATTTAGAAGAGCACTACACAAGACAGGCATGAAGGATGTGCTGGAAGCTGTCGGGAAATACAGTTTTTTTCTTTGAATTGGATTGATGCTTCAGACAACAAATGGCAAGCGCTAGCATGCTTTTTAGAGTACATGTGTGATACACTCAGTGGAAACGAGTCTCCATGTTACTTAACACTGTAGTTTCACAAATGTTTTGTTACTGTTGCCTACAGAAATATCCCGCCTTTCCCTGGCCTTTTGTTCCCATATGCACCTCGTGCTGCCTGTGAGGCAGAGCACAGAGTTCGTGCGTTTGCTCAGTGAACTGGACAGGGAAAGGAAGATGAAGGCTCACTCAGCAAACAGCCACAAAGCTGTGCTAGCTCTCTGCTGTCCCCGATCCTCGTTACTGTGTGGATGTGCTGGTCTGAGAAAAGCACCAGCAGACGGAGGGACCTGGTGACTGGGAGCAGGAGGACTACTATAGGCAGCAGTACTGGGCTGTGTCAGTTAAAAACATTCTGTGGAACTACAGGGTTCAATTTTCTTCATTTGGAAACAAGAACGTGTTTTTGAACCAATTTATAGTGCAAATCAAGTATTTAAGAGCAAAACAATGGACTCTGCCTGAATATACAATATCTTTTTGTATCTCTCATCCCCCACTCTCTACCTCAGCCCATTGCTGCCCAGTGACAGCGGAATTTAGGTTCTAATATTGAAGGGTGTACGACGCAATGAGTGCAGGGCCACCAGGCAGCACCCACGGAGCAACGCTCCAATATTGTAAATGGGATCTACTCCACCTCTCTGAGTACTAAATACCCACATGACAGTGGGTACAATGGGGGCTGCTACAGCCAGGAGATCTACAAGGAGACTGCCACTCCAGTGCCTCTGCATTATTCCTGTCTCAGAGGCAGTGTTTACATACCCAAACACTTCATCACACATTTCCGTAAAATCAAGTTCTTTCATGCCATGATTTTCACCAACTCCATAATCCACCTTTCTGCATGGAGACTCCATAGGAGACAAAAGGATAGCAGAGTTTGGATCACTTGGAGTTAAGTCCACTACTATAGCAGAATCACTAAAGCTTCCAGAAGAAAAATCACCCAATTCCTTCAGTGAGGAAGGCGGGCTCAGAGGAGAGACGTCTTGAGATCCGAAGATGTTCTGAATGAGCCGCTCCACATTTAGGCTGTATGGCACCACGTCGGTCTGGACGGACTGTTCCACCATCACGATGTCGCTCCTCTCTTCCTTCCTAGAAGACCTCAGTTCTTCATCAGGAACGCTTTCAAGCATCTCTTGATCCACAGCAGAGATGAAGAAAGCTGGATCAGCCAACTCAGCACCTGCAGTGGTGAAAGTCTCTTGAAACAAATCGTTCCCATTAGCTACGTCCTCGTTTAGAAGCACCCCACTATCAACCTCCAAAGCTTGCTCCTCCGCGATGAGGGTGTCTGGCAGCTTGGCATACAGTGCCAGTGGCTTCCCTGGTGCGTCAGACACATCCTCGTCCCGCAGAGAACCGTTCTGAGCCATCTCCATGCTGTGCAGGAGAGATTCCAGTTTCTTGTTTTGAATGTTTATGTCTATGAAATATTTCTGAATGCCTTTGTCTTTCTCCGCCAAGTTGTTTTTCATGGTTTCAATAACCTGCTTGAGTTGTTTAATTTCCTTTTTCGCTTCCTTGAGGGCCAGCTGTGCCTCCACACGATGACACTCTTCTTCAATCCAGTCTTCCCTCATGCGTCCTAGCTGAGTTTTGAGCTCTTCTATTTCAGTCTCCCTGGAGAAAGAGAAAAATGTAACACTTCTCTGACTGGTCAGTTAGTGCCAGCTAGTACAGCACTGGGATGGCTGCAGAGATGCTCCAGGGAGGAGACACATTCCTCCAGACACCACCTGCTAACACTCCCGAGAGCTGTAGGTGGCCTGCCAAGACTCACTGGTTGCTGACTGAGGACACTGACCTCCGCACACAGTCAGCAGACCTGTGGCAAGCTTGGGGGTCGTGCTACAACCCCTGACATCTTGAGGCGCAAGCGATGGTCTGTAGGTTAGATTCCATCAGCACAGAACCTGCACCTCTCCTACTGCCTTGCCCCACAGGAACTGAGAAATGGCCTCCTGGGAAGCACGTGCCACGCAGTGCCTGCGCCTGCGAGCAGCTCTGTGTGTACAGCCAGAGCTGACGCTGATGTGACGCGGCAGGAAAGCTGCGCTCCTCAAAGATGCAGAGGTCGGGCTGTACCCCTCAGGACTGTGGGTTCCACAGGACTCAGCCTGCGAGGCCATTCAAATGCCCCTTTGTGCCCGCTTGGGTTGCGTGTGCTGGATATCTAGCTCCCAAAGCCCGGCTTTAATCAAATGCCATCTGTTACTGTATAATGCATTGTCACTTCTCAGCATCAATACAAAGAGCTCTTCAGAAAAATTCAATATAAGCAAGAAAAACACAAGTGGGCGCACTGGTTTGTACAAGAACTTTTCTTTCATTACAGAAGAAGGAGCACATTTTGAAGTCGTACTTCACTGACAGAGGTAGTATAGAAGACTAAAGTAATATGAATTTGCAGGGACAAAACTTTTATATATAAAAGGTCTTGATTCTAAATCAGGCTGATAAAAAAATCCCTTGAAAACATTTCATTAGGCAATTCAAAAAAGGGAGAAGAGCCATGCTTATATATATGCTGCATGGTGCATGTTTACTGAGCAAACTACAAAACATGAAATACCTTAAAACAACCAAACTGATCACATTCTAAATTTATTAGTTGAAACTTTACAAGGTCAAGAAATCAGTAAAATATTCAGGATTCTCATCCCCAAAAGCTCCTGAATAAATCTTTGTAACTCCTCTTTCTGAAATGAAATGTACCTTTCCTTGAGCTTGCTCTGAGATTCCTTCAGCTTTGTTTTCAAATGCCGTACTGTGACTTCCTTCTGCTGCAGAGGAGTCAAATACTGCTCTGGATTTTGTGACTTAACACTGTGGTGATCAACACAAGTCAAATATCTCCCCGATCGCCTGGAAAGAAAAAAAGAAAAGCCATCACATGACATCACCCCTATGGTTCTTCACTCTTAGCAAAAAAAAAAAACCCACAACAATGACCAACACAAAGCTGAGTTTACACTTGATTCATCTGGGGCTTCTCAGTGTCAGCACAAGTGACTCATTCTGCCAAGTCAAGTACTTGAAGAAACTGCTGATATGTGGGCATCACAAAGCATTTACTATGTATTGTGATTGGTTGCAGTGCAGTGATATCGAGAGTTATTTAACTTTGAAATGTCCAGGCATCACCTCATCTAAACTGGGTGGAGCATTGAAGAGCAGACAGCCACACCACAGGCAATGGCACTCAGCTAAAGACATGGCCAAGTAAGCTAGTGGAAAAACTGAGTTTAGATCCTGAAACCTCGACTCACCGTATCTAGGTTTAAGTGTGTATTTACTGTGCTAGAACTGTTCAGTAGTCTGACAGAGAAAGAAAGAGCAGTGGAATGGCAGCAATTCAGTCTCTGCACTACTGCTGCATCTTCTGGCAGGTATCTGTTTTCTTTCCCGCTCAGGAAACTGCACTCCTTGGGCAGGTGCCTAAAGTTAAACAGGATGAATTTCTGCCTGAGTGTATAACATTTTCTATTCTGCCACACCCAACTCTCACCAAATTAAAAGGACCCTTCAGTAAAAGAACAAGTAAATCCACGTTAGAACTGGTGGCATGAAACCACATTAAAGAGATTGTCTTGGAGTGAAAACCAACCACAAGAGGCCTCTGACTGAGAGTAACCTCTAGTTCCACTGTGCTGAAATAATAAAGCTTTTACAGTGGTAGGAAAATAAAGGCTGGAGCATCCTGCTGACTGTCAAACCACCCAGATGAAGAGTCACACCTACACTGAGAAGCAAGATGACTTGCTCAGCAATCTGGACAGTGTGTTCCAGTGCAGAGAAGGTAAGTCAGAGCACTGAACGCTGGGTGATTAGATAAACACTTGCCTCATTATTGGGCTGGTGTCACTTCCTTTGTATGAGCCTGAGTTACTGCTACTGGGAGAAGAAACCCCATAATTCTGATGGATGTTACCAGGATTCTGCTGACTTCTGCAGAGTGCTGACAAATGGTCCTTTTCACGGGAAGCAGGTGGGCTGGCTCCAGACTTGTAGGATGAGGATCCACTATTCCGACCATAAGGGCCGCGACTGGAAAGGAACCAAAATGGTTACATCATATTGGATTGTCCTTGTCACACAACGCATTGCGTGTCTTACTTTACAAAGCTGTCTATGAAATACCACTGAAACATACAAATGACTGTGAGTGGCTCGGAAAAAAGGAAGAGCTCATCTCGTCAGCCACTGCAGGTTCTTTTGATGACTGTGAGAATCTTGCTTGAACTATGTGATGTAGGGAAATCTCTGGCATTTTCACATTTCTCAGTTTGCAGTAGTTTCCAGTGACTCCATCACATCAGTGTTCCCTGAACCTTTGACTCCATTAAGTAATTAGAAGACTGCAAACTCGACTAGTTCAAAAAGGACCACTTTTCAGCTTTCCTCTACCAGGCCTGAGGAGATGCCCGGTCTTGGAGGCTGGTGGAGAGTTGTAAGACTTCTCTCATGATTCTCAGCAAGCAGCTTAAGGGATCACAGTGTGAAGGCAGATTTTTTTTGAGCCACTGTTCTTCTGTGCCTTTGGCAAACTGGATGTTTCAGCTGCCACTATCAGCTATTCATTTGCTCAGATATAGTTTGGACCCAACTGAGAGCAGGCTGAAATAGTATTAAAACTAGACAAAGAACGCACAGTTTCTTCTTTCTTTCAGTTTCTGTCATACGTATTTACCTTTCTTTTCCCCATCTTTACTAAAAAAACTGCTACTCATGTGTGCTTTAATAAAATTTATATCTGCACTTTCTGGTAATTGCCAAAGAACTGAGGCACTGGAGCCAGCTTTTAGAGGTGCATTTCTCATTTGTTTAGTTGATTTAGTTTCCTACACTGCTACCTTCACCTTCACCCTCTACTGGAAGTTGTTCTTCTAAACTGCAGTGAAAGGCAGGTTTCAAAAATATGGAAAAAGGCAAACCAAGCCAGCAAAAAAGAAAGTTTGAACATAAAAATTAAAATACCACAGAATCATGAAGCAAAATCTCCTAAAATTGTCTGAATTGGTTTCCTCCTTTCTCTGAAAATGGAACAGTTTATAAGGAACAGATGGCTGACTGGCTGTGCTGCAGGCCTTCATCACAGCGCTGTGGTTTGGGTGAATTTATAATTATTTTACAGTAACGTGAAGGACTGTGGTTTGTGACAACACTGAAATGTTTCACAGTGAGTTTATTCAAACAGTTAAAAAAGAACATGTTAGAGAGCAAACATCTCTTTCCACTTTGTACAGCACAGCATCAACTTCTGTGTAATAACACAGCAGTGCATTTGAAGGAGCACTATTACAGAGGACTTCTATCTGTTTAAATATGCCAGTATGGTCTAATTTAAAGTTATATTTAAATACACAATGATACATGAAATTCTACATGTTCTTACTGAAACTGAGGTCACTTCAGAGCTTCGTATTACACTCAGCAGGGTTCTTTTCCTCAGCCAGTAACTTGTTAGACTTAACCTACAGAGAACTTAACTACTGTTTCTTTTTCTAGCCACCTCATGGTACAGATATGAAACTATTCTTTAAGCATCACTCTGTTGATCCCTGTATGCTGGGGCACACTGCAACCTCAGAGAAGTCCGCATGACTTCAGCATATGGGTATCCTGCTGCTGGCCCCGGCCTGCCTGCCAGCTCCACTCCCGCGACTCCACAAAGGGCAGGAAACAAGTCTTGTCAATTTGAACTCTTTCCACCTACTCAAAAAAGTGCAGCAGCAGGGACGGCGTGGGCAGAGCACAATGTGCACTGACTGCTCCATCCAACACCCCAGTACTCACAAGCTGTCTCATTTGCCGTTCACAGAGGATACAGAGAAAACTTACAGCAATCTTTCAACAAAAGCTTCATTCAGATGGATGACTACATATATTTTTTCAATTTGCATATTGCTTTCTTTTCATAAAGGCTGGATGAGAGTGCTTTGGAAAAGAGCATTAAAGACAATATTGTTGATTTCTTCCTCCAAAACAATGTCAAGACCTACAAAGTTACACGCTGAGCTGACAATTTATAGCAAACCATAGCAAAAAACCAAAGAGCTTGACCAGAAAGGTTGAGGTTAAGAGCTAAAAATACAACGGTTAACTGATGTGCACCCAGTTACTTCCTCCTCTACTCCAGCCACTGTTTCTTGTGACTTTCCTACATGTATCTCCAGTGCTTGTTACGGATAAAAATTAGTATCAGTCGGCTGATCTGACATTTTGACAATTTTTGTTCTAACCAATACAATAATTTGTCTTCTATCTGGACTTTCTTCAGTTCTTATCAGTGTTAGTGCTGCCCAAGAGCACAGAACTACCCAGATTGTTTTAAAACTCACTGTAGCCATACTGGATGCATGAACTGTGAGACCCTACATAGTAGTCCATCTCTGTACTAGCTACATTTGAAACATACAGGAAAATTTGCTTACTTGCGAGAAAAAGAAGATCTTTTACTTCCAGCAGCAGACATATGGACTTCAGGAGCTGAAATACTGCCTGTGCTGCTTGAAGAGCTAAAATCAGCTTCACTCCCTGGAAAGGAAAAGGGAAGAGTAAAGACACGGTGGAAATTGTAACTCAAAGACTGTTTTCAACTAACAATGAATCACAAGCATCCTTCCTTTGTCTATCTGTGTGAATTTTAGAAGTTGCATAAATTTTCAAATATCCCCAAGGACAAGCACTGGATACGCTCCAGACTTTCAGTATTTCTTCAGAACTGGCACGTCAACAAAAAACTTTGGACACTGTTTCACTCTACAGAAGCCATTGTAGAATTAGGCTGTTATGGCAACTTGTTTCCTCACAGCTATCAGGATATGATGAGGCTGCTTACATGGCTTCTTCAAGAACACAGTGATTAAAAGCATACAATTGTAACCGGATTTCTATTACTTTAAACCATATGAAAATACCATTTGCTGTGAGGAAAGCAGCTTCTATTTTAGATTCTGAGCTGACTGATATACATGTATATGTATATATGTATAAATACATATAGCCTTACAGAGTATGTATGTATGTATATGTATAAACATATGCAGGTTTTCATGTGGTACAGAAGCACAGTAGGGCAGTTCTAATGGCTTTAAAATAATCCAATAATATTGCATGGCTCTCAGCTGCTTCTTGGGTGTTAATCTATCTGATTACTGACTTTCTATGGATTACAGCTTGTATTTCCCAAGCCCTTTTATATACCAGAAAAGTGCCCTCATTTTTCTAAGGTCAGCAGTACTTAAAAGTATCAACAAAGTATTCTTATAGGGAAGAAAGCCCTAAAGTTAGGATTTATTTCAGTTTGTTACTCAGATGGCCATATGCTTCCACGAGGGGGAGATGCAGCTACAGTTGCTACAATCCCCATGTTGGTAAATAAAATCCTCAGATCCTTAACAAAGCTGATAGGCACACCCTGTGCTCCCGAGTACACTTAGAAGGGCACTGGCAGAGCATCTTCTCACAGAAACAGGATGAAACATTCTACAACCGTTCCTAATGGCCTTAGGACCCTGTTTTCAATTTAATTTAAATTGATTTAATTTCCCAGTTACACAGTCTGACTGGCAGGATTCACATGACTTGTGGCTCCAACCTGCACACCCAATCTCAAACATCAGCTGGCCGGCAAGGAAAGCGCTGCCCTTCCTGTGACGTGTCTTTGCCACACACTTGGATGCAGCAGGATTGAGCTGGTTTTATTGTTCTTCATCCAAGCTATAGATCGAGTTTATGTACCTGGTACCCACACAGAAGCAAAGGAGTGTCAGAAACTTGGGTACAATCCTCTGTCCAGTCTTCAGTATTTACTGGGGACTCATGTGAGGACCCTGAGTGCTGTGTTCAGTTTTAGGCCCTTTGCTACAAGAAAGACTCTGGGGCTCTGGAGTGTGTGCTGAGAACGGCAATGAAGCTGTGCGGGGTCTGGAGCACAAGTCTTATGGGGAGAGAAGGAGGAAACCAGGATTGTTCAGCTGAGAGAAGAGGACATCAGGAGGGACCTCACTGCTCTCTACAACTGTCTGAAAAGAGGTTGTGGTGAGGTAGGACTCAGCCTTTTCTCCAATGAGAGGTAATGGCCTTAAGTTGTACCAGGGAGGTTCAGGTTGGATACATGGAATAATTTCTCTGAAAGAATATTGGCACAGGTGGTGGAGTCACCATCCCTGGAGATGTTCAAGAAATGTGTAGATGTGGTATGCAGGGATGTGCTTTCGTGGGCATGGTGTGACAGGCTGATGACTGGACTTGTTCATCTTAGAGGTCTTTTTCAATCGTGATGATTCTGTGATTCCATGACAGGGCAGAAGACCACTTCAGAGCAATCACCAGAGGGACAAACATTTCAGTGTCCTGGCTGCTTTCATATGGAAGACCTCTAATTACAGAGGTATTCAAGGCACATGTACTGTTTTTGCTGTTTAATGCTCTGCAGCATAACACCATAAAGGTCACGTGCAGGGACAGCACTCAGCAGAGAGCAGCCTGCATTGGGGCAGCTGCACTGTGGCCCTACAAGCACCATGCCTGGGAGCAGGCAGGTTGGAAGCAGCAGGCAGGGAGGCTCAGGGGGCCTGGACAGAGGAGGTGACTGTCCCTCTGTACTCCTAAAACTGGTGGACCTGTAAATCTTACAGATGGCTGCAAACTTCCCTTTGTTTCTCTGCGCTGCTTGATCAGCCCAGCCCATTCCAGAGAAACTTCAAAGCACAGAAAAGCACAGCCCAGAATGCCATCACAGGGACCCAGCTTTATAGCCTCTAACAAACCCATGCCCAGCTCAGCATCCCTGATAAGCAGACCTGGGCTGCCCCAAGTTGCTATGGCCAGGAGCAAATTGAAACCACATGCAAAGACAGGGAAGGGCGGGGAGGCAGAGCACAACCCTGCTTTGTTCCACAGAGTATTTATATCGTGTCTACAAACACAGGTGGCAGTAACCCTCTCCTTAGGGATGTAAAATGAGTACTGGACATAATGGCCAAAGCTGCAGCAGCTTTCCTGATAGACAAAGCACTCCCATCTAAGAGATTACAGCACATACAGCACTGTCTTGCTACCACACAAATCTGCTTTTGCCAACCAGACCCAAACAGGTAAACCCCTTGCATGGATTCCATACCTCTTCTGTCTGGCCTCCCAGACATTGGTGCCCCCGCCGACTCCAGCAGCTCCCAAAGCCCAGCACAGACAGCGTGAGCCCTACAGGGCTCATCTATGATTAAGCAACGCGCACCATAATCAGATCTTGCTATTGAAAGCATCTCAAGGAAGCAAGGTTTAATAATAGCCTCTCCCTGACCCGCTTGGCTGGCAGCGCAGTGCTGGGGAGGGCTGCCAAGCCAGGTACTGCAGATAGGATTTAGCAGAGCCTGGAAATGCAGCCGCTGAGGTTTCTGAAAGATTGAAATGAATTTGAAACCAGGAACTGTTCTGCAAAGCAAGAATTAACCTCTGTGGCCCTGGTTCTGATAACAGCTCTTAGGGCTGAGACTAATTATGCTCAAAATTGGGCATATGTATATTCACGAGATTTTCCAGAACATTTTTATAAACTAAAGTGGTCACTGTCAGTAATGTTTCCAAGTGTGTTAGTTATGTTCAAGCCAGCTTTGCATGTAACAGAGATTGACAGTAATGTTACTAGGAGACCTAAAAATATTTTCTTCTACTTGGTAGACACCGCTACGTAAAATAACAAGCATTTGCCCATAAATTGCAATATATTATTCTGGGTTAAGTAAAGCATTACTTCCATTTTACAAATGTTCATAACAAAGAGAAGCTCCCCCTCTACCAGCAACGTGGGCAGGGCCAGAGCACAGCCTCTCGTCCCTCCTACAGCCATCTACCATCTACCACAGCAACAGGACCTCGGGAAGCCTGCTGGCTGCTCTGTGACTGTGACGATGTCACTGCAAAAGCTCACGAATGTAAGCAGAGAACAACCAACCCCCAGAAACAGCATTAACCATGAAAGCAGCTGACATTTCTCAAAACCAGTCTTTTGTCCTAACTGGCTACCCAGGATAGGTATGTGAGGAGCAGGAATGAAATGGTGCAGCACCCAGCACAGCACCGCTCCACAGGCAGTGGCTCTGACCCAACTGTGTGCTGCCTCCAGTTTTTCCTGTATGTGCACTGCAGCCATCACATCTACATTTTGGCATGTAGAAATTCACACCATTAACCCTGCTCTATTTACTGCCTCAGCCAGGACAACCATACAGCAAAGTGATCATTTAGAGTACTTACAGGCTCTGATTATATATAATGGATTATATATTATACTGTACAGATACATTATATTGGGCATGATATATTGTATATAGGCTCCAGCAGGACAGTACGCTGTACTGAAATATCACATGTGTACATGTGTATCATAGAACCACATAGAACCACAGAATCATAGAACCACAGAATCATAGAATGGCCTGGGTCGAACAGGACCACAGTGATCATTGAGTTTCAACCTCCTTCCATGTGCAGGGCCACCAACCACCAGACCAGGCTGCCCAGAGTCACATCCAGCCTGGCCTTGAATGCCTCCAGGGATGGGGCATCCACAACCTCCTTGGGCAACCTGTTCCAATGTGTCACCACCCTCTGTGTACAAAATTTCCTCCTAATATCTAACTGAAATCTCCCCTGTTTCGGTTTAAAATCATTCCCCCTTGTCCTGTCACTATCAAGATTGAGAGGTACCACTTTCTTTCATTACCAGAGGATCTGAATTTTGACAAAGAAACATGGACATGTTGAGCTGGACTGTCTGGCTGTGATAAGAAAACCCAAATTGAAATGCAAAAGTTGAATATTAAAGGAATCATTGGATAGGCAATTCCACTTAAATACAAGCATGTGCATGTTCAGTTCATCAGGTTCACCATGTACATTTCTTACACAGAAGCACAGCAGGCCCACATGCATGCCTGGACTATGGCATTCTAGCCTGCTACTTCACATCACTGCAGATGGTCAAAGACCTTGCTGTACAGTCCTCTGGCCTCTGTATTAACATTTTACTCGTGCTTCAGGATTAATCTTTATCTTCCCTTAGAAGTACAGCTGAAACTTTACTGTGTGCATTTTAAAGTTCAGCGAGATTAAAAAGCAGAAGAAAGGAAAATGCTGAAATAATATTTGTGACAGGAACATTGATAGCTGATGAGTAGAAATAGCTTCTCAAAACTCAGGATAACTATGTTTTTTGTGTGTGTGTCTTTGATTTAGAAATTCACTATTGTTTCACAGTCAGTATACAGAAAACACAGAATTTATCTATTTGTGACTCCATTAACATGATCTCTTCATATGGACCAGTCCCTGTGCTTGCACATTGTCACACAGTGAAGTGGAACTGTAAACAGTCCTGAAAGACAGTGTGTCCTCAAAACATAAAGAACTTAAATTTGCTGAGCCTCCTTGTCCTTAAGAATATCCTGTTAAATGGCAATAGGATCAAAATATGTGTACAAATTCACCAGCAGCAAATAAAGAAATAGATGGAATGCTGTCTCTGCAAACAA